CACTAACATTTACTAGGTATGAAAGTGCTAAGACCCTTTCCTTTATGTACTGTGTACATCCCTAGTTTGGGGATCATTGTTAAGGATTAAGTTTTAAAATAAATATAAAGTGTTTTACAGTCAGCACCTGGTATGGTAGGGATTCAACAAATGTTTGTTTTTCATAATATTTAATGGGGGCTCTAATGTATTTTAAGTAGAGCTTTGTCATTTATGGTTTTATTATTTAATCAAATAATTCTAACCAAACATATATCAAAGCAGAAACAAGAGTAATTATTTTTTAATAACTATTGAAATATAATTCATATTCCATACAATTCACCTATTTAAAAATTGCAATTCACTGGATTTTAGCATATTCAAATATATGTGCAACCATCATAATAGTCAATTTTAGAGCATTTTTAACATCTCAGAAAGAAAACTCATAACCCTTAGCTTTTACCCTCCTAATCTCTTACATATCCCCAATCTTAAACAATCACTCTATAAATTTTACTATTCTCAGGTTTTAATATGAATGGAGCTCAGGACCTACTGACTATCTCTCTTTATTTCTTGGAATATTTTGTTCTCCTGTCTCTTTCTGGTATTACCATTCTGTGGTTGTAGGTGTGCTTAATGGTATCACACATTTCCCTAAAGCTCAGTACATTTTTCTTTATTCCCCCCACCCATGGCTTCTTTTTTCAAATTTAGTAATTCTTTCTTCTGACACTTCAAATCTACTGTTGGAAATCCTTCAGGTGAATTTTTAATTTTCAGTTATACTATTTTTCTTTTTCATTTTGGTACCAGGGATTGAACTCAGGACACTTAACCACTGAGCCACTTTTTTATATTTTATTTAGAGACAAAGTCTCACTGAGTTACTTAGGGCTTCACTAAGTTGCTGAGGCTGGCTTTGAACTTGAGGTCCTTCTGACTCCGCCTCCTGAGCCTCTGGGATTAAGGCATGCACCTCCATGCCCGGTTCAGTTATACTTTTCAATTCCAGAATATCTATTTTGTTTTTCTTAAAGTAATTCCTCTTTATTGATACTCTACTGATTGTGACATTATCATAATACCTCCTTTGTTAATCCAGTCAAATTTTTGGCTCCTTCAGGAAGTTTCTGAGGTCAGTGTTTGATATTTGTTCTCACCCCAGGAAAGCTTCTGCCAGCTGTTTCATATTCTGGTCTGTTCTGCAAACTCTGCAGCCTGCAGTGTGTGCTGTCTCTTCCTTAAATCCATAAGTCTCTCCCATTGCCTTTTGCTGCAGTCGCCATTGTACTTGATAGTCCACATGGGTTTGAAATTCTTAGTGTATGGTAAACAAAGTCATTTTATTAGGAAGAGATTGGAGATACCTGTTTTATGATCTGACCTGTTTCTGTCTCTCCTTCTCCCCCAGCAAAATATCTGAACCAAGGCACTAGAGCTAGGGGCAGAAACAATGACAAGCTTCCCTTTGGGTGACACCCCCACTCTAATTGGTGATCATTGGAATGGGAAGGGCAGCCAAGCTTTTTGGCTTGCCTTTCCCACTGTGGAACAACTACTTCAAGAGCCAGGACAAAGATGATCAGGGTCTCATTATGGGATGCCCCATCCTTTGACCACACTTGACTAGGAACAGGTAGCTGGAGGCAAATGAGAGATACTGGTGTCTTATTCTTCAAGAAAGCCCTCCGACTGAGAGCTGGAGTTTAGCCTCTGCCTCCCTGAGTTTGCAGGGTAGGGGAGTAGTCTTGGTTCAAATACCACAGACTTGGCTTTCTTAACAAATGTTTCACGTTGTCTTGAATAGAGTTTCGTCATTTGCTGTTTCCCTTAGGACCACTTACAAAGGCTGTTAAGTATTTTGTTTTAAAATAGTTTTCACCAGTTTCACTGGGGGGCCCATCAGCACAGTTCCTCATGCTATTACCCTGAAAATAAATTTTCCTAGGTTAAATTCCTAAGTTTCTGTAGGAGGAGTTCAGGTAGCTTGGTAAAGAAGGCTCGTTTCCTGGGAACTTGAGCGAGAAAATGGACATTTTTGACTAATAGGAGATAAACTAAGGAAAGATAATTCGGTAGGACAGGAAGATAAAAGGAAGGGAAACAGGAAGTCTGCATAATTATTTGGACTCCTTATGGTTTTGAGATATTTTAAAAGGCTTGGACTTAAATGTTTTGAAAACCAAGTGTTTTTATAAAACATTCGTGTGTGGATTCTGTTGTTTTTCTTGGCTGCACTGGGCATTGAAGCTTGGTCCTCACACATACTAGGCAAGTGCTCTACCACTGAGCTGCATCCCAGCTTAGTATATTCATTTTAAAAGGAATATGTTTCTGATTTTATTTTATTTTTATTTTGTTTTTCTGATTTTAATATATTTTTGTGCATAAACACTCTTAGTTAAACCCTCTAGGTATTACTTAACCAAATTAGACTTTATTCCATATAACATTCAATTCACACCCCTGTGAGAAATTTTTTATTGAATTTTAACTTTATACTTGACAAGGAAAGTTTTCTAAAAGCAGTTTTTATTTTAGCTAATTAGCTTGGATTACTACATTTGAAATTGCTAGTGTATGTAGTGATATTTGTAATTTTTTTTACAGAGTAACAAGGTTATATGCTCTTTAGGAGCTATAAGGTTTGTGTTAAAAGCACTCAATTACAGCATTGTGTTAATATAATTAATTTGGTTCCTATATTTTTCCCTCTAAAACTTTGGTGCCAGTCTGTCTGAATCAAATTACTTCAAATGCAAATTAGTGTAGTAGCTGGGAGTTTTGAAGGGGCTTCTGTTTGCTATACTAGTTCAGATAAAGGAGAAAGCCTAAGCATTGTCTGTGTGTCTAATTCTGTTTTCTTAAAAAGTTTTTTTTTTTCTTTAGTCCTGTTTACTAGGAAGACATAAAACAGTACCCTTCCCATTTGGGAGCTGCTCTGGACAGAAGCTTTGTGCACACCTGTAAGTCCTGAGTAAAGGGGTGCTGAGCAGTTATTGTACCCCACAATACATTGGGCTTTACTTCTGCTTGGATTCGGAAGGTGTGGCTCCAGGAGTGGGCGTCACCCRGTGGGGTTGAGTTACACTCACCTATTCCTTGGTAATCCTACCCCTTTGCCCTTTTTGGGATAGAATGTTCCATGGAACTTCCCCTCGTGTGTTCCCTATATAAGAAAAAAGAATTCCAGTGGCTCTCTCTCTCTCTTTCCACTGACCCCTAAGGTTACAGAGCCATCCCTGGATTTTGAAAAGGTACTTCTGTGTCTTTGCATGGTTTCTTGGCCGTTTCCTTAAGTTATTGAAATAGTCAGATTTTGTGAACCCACCGTAGGTCGCCACCTCAGATAGATGGTGATATTTCCCCTCTTCAGTATTTTTCTGGTATAAACTATAGTGGGCTACTAATACTTTCCAAGTGTTTTATTTCATTTTCAGTGTTGGATTTTTATAATTAACTTAGCACATACTCAAGTCTTAAGTGTATGAGGAGCCTTGTCAGGTATGTGACTTGTGCAGAGAATTGTGAGACTAGGCCATTTAAATGACTGCAAGATAAACAGAATTGAAACCAGTGGATGGGACTGCTGTGGTCTAGAATCTGAAACCAAGTATAGAAAGAGCTTAGGAGCTGGACGATCCTTGAATACTAAGGAAAACTTTCAGTGGGTACAGAAGACCTGAAAGCGGGAATATGTAATGTTTTTGAACTATAGAATGTAACTTCCTAGATTGAAAGATTTATTTTAAGTAAATATATGATTAGAAAAATTGTGGTGGATCTTGAATGTGGAACTAGTGACTTAGGACTCTCTCTTTTGAAACAGGATAGTGTTATGTTGCCCAGGATGGTTGTGAACTCTTATGACTCCTGCCTCAGCCTCCTGAATAGCTGGGACTATAGGCTATAGCACTTCAGGCTATAGCATCACCACACCTAGCTCTTTTCTTGCTGTTCTTTTGTGGTCAGTGGGAAGTCATGAAAACTTTCTGAACAAGCAAATGCCATGGTTAGTGATAGTGTTTAGGGTGAATTGAAAACTACAGGGCCTCAAGCCCAGTTTTCTCTCATTTTCTTTGTCCTTTGCTATAATGGGGGAGTATGAGTTCTATTTCAGATTAAAAGTTTTTTTAAAGCCTACAGTTTATATAATTCAGCATAAGTATCTCCATTAAAAATAAGGGTTAACAATGAACACATAGCCCAAATAATTCATGGGTGACAAAATTGTGAGATAGTTTGGGTTTTGGTGGAGTCAGACTAGCTTGAATTCTGGTTTTGCCACTCACTGTGTAAAATTGAACAAATGCTTCACTCAGATGAAGACTCACTCTTCATCTGCAGAAGAGAGCAAGCAATATCACCACTTAGTTTGTGAGCATTAAATAAAATAATGCATGTGAAACAGCTACTAGACAGGTTACTTGTTACCTTGTTACTCTGGTGAATACCTTGCTGCTATTAATTTTTACTGAGATTATTATCATGTACTAATTTCTATCTCATTATTTTCATAAAACAGTACATTCTGAATTTTGAACTTGTGCTATAGGAATACTTTTCCTCTCTGATCCAAAGAATCTCCTGCCCCACCTAAACCTACTGGCTCCTTCTGGAGTTTCCTTTTTAGTGATGAGTCCTGCCTTTTTATTGAGAGCAGACCAAAAAGTGAGAATTCCTGGGTGCTATAAAGAAGGTACCATTTTATGGACATGGTGGCACACACCAGTAATTCCAGTGACTGGGGAGGCTGAGACCAGAGGATTGAAAATTCAAGGCCAGCCTCAGCAACTTAGGTAGACCTGTCTCAAAATAAATGAAAAAAAAAAAAAAGTGCCACCAGTTGTTGCCATTTATGGGCAAATACAATAAGCTTTTGTTTTGTAGACCACATGCAGTATTAGGTGTTTTGTATTGTTTTCTAAAGTATGTGTATGTTTTGTTATTGTGCTTTGAACTTTAGAGTGGTGTGTTATTTAGAAATTTAGACTTATTTTTACTTTTGTCAGGTTCAAGCCGTTTTTTCCATATCAGACCTTGCAAGAATCTGAAGAAGATGAAGAGTATATCCATATACACCAGTGGGCACTTGTTGAAGGACGTCTTAAAGTTACGTTGTTAGAATGTAGCAGGTACGTTCTTTGTTTTGTTACTACTACACTATGGGGAAAAAGGGCTCTGAAAAATGTACCTAAGCAGCATTTGTATATATTCCCTTTTTTTGTTTTTGTTAATTTATGTTGTATTGTTTACTTGTAAAAGTAAACAATTTAGTAAAAGTCTTTTCTAGCGTATAACAAGAATAAAACATTTTAGAAAGTATTCTAAGGGAGCACTTATTCTGTAATATTCCCAAACTTTTTAGATGTACATACTTTGGAATATTTTTAGCTTTCTCTACCTAAAACTGTTGTAACATAATGAATGTGAGAATTGTGAGAATTGAAATAACCTGGCAAGTTGCATAGCCAGACTTTGAACCCTTCTGGGTTCAGAAATAATTTTGCTCCCACAAATTAAGTTCTTATCTTGCTTGAACTATTTACTACACTAGTTTTCTTATTTATCTTTTAACACTCTAGCTCCCAGTATAACAGCCAGAATGATCTTTTCAAAATACAAATCTAGTTGTCATTTTCCTTAAAACTCTTTATTTAATGACTTCCCCACTACTTCTAGGATGTGGACTAAAATCCTTACTTCCACCTATGAGTCTCTTTTTCTGTTCTTTCTCACCATCCTCTTCCCAGCCCCACACTTATAATATTTGAGATAAATAGGCTGTCCTAAGGGAAGAGATTGACAAATTTTTTCTCTGAAATGCCAATAGTAAATATTTTAGGCTTTGTGAGGTCTCTGTTGCAGTTCCCAGCTCTGCCATGTAGATCACAGACATCATGCGAATGTATGGCATGGCTGTGTAGCCGTAAAACTTCATATATGAATATCTTAATTTTCATGTGTCATGAAATGTCTTTTGATTTATTTAACTATTTAAAACATTTTAAAAAAGAATTAAAAAAAATTTTTAAATGTTGATGAACCTTTAAACCAAATAAAATAAGCAGTGGATTGGATTTGGACCACTAGCTGTAGTTTGCCATTCCCTGCTTAGATATTTTAAAGTATAAAACCCCTTAAGTTGACTCTTCGCTCTTTCCTTGTCTTACCCCATTCTCTGCTCCCTAAAACCAACCTTGCCTAGTTCAGCCTTAATGTCTCTCCTGATAGTTCCAAGTGAAATGTACTCTGTCTGCTACATTTTTCTGACACTTGCTTGTATCATTTACTTAGTACTTATAGTTTTTATTTCCAAACCATAATAAAAATAAGCACCTGAGTACCAAGCTTCCATTTAAGTCCTGAGGTGACATTGCTATTATGCATCATTCTGTCACAAAGTGTGATTGACAAAGAATTCTTTTACTGTCCCTGCCCCCTCCCTCAAAAGACTAAATATCCTCTATATTTTGTAAAAGGAACTATAGTAAAATAGATGTATTAGGTACCATGCTCGGTATTTAGAAAAGACTAGTTCTTTTTTTGCCTTAGTATTGCTGGTGAGGTGAAGGATTGATTGATGTGTGTTAGCTCGTGTCTGTGTGACTGCTAGTTTTGGTGTTTCTTTGCTCACTGATCTTTTTGCTTTTCCTGTGGAACTTCTCGAAGCCTTGCCACAGGAATCAGAGACTGCATGAGCTTGAGAAAGGGTAGACAGACATTATTTAGGTCTCGTTGAATTGAGATAAATGGTACAAAGGAAAGCACAACAATTTGTGGAGTAGTTGCAACCCTCTTTATTTTAATAAAGAACTGCATAATAAATCTGAAAGGATACATGAGAAACCAGTAAAAATTCTTACAAGGGGCTGGGGTTGTGGCTCAGTGGTAGAGCACTTGCCTAGCATGTGTGAGGCATTGGGTGCTATCCTCAGCACCACATATAAATACATGAATAAAATTAAAGGTTCATCAATATCTAAAAAAATATTTTAAAAAAGTTTTTATAAGGATCAAGGTTGATGGTAAAGAGAGAGGGATCTAGGTTGATGATGATGGATGGAGTCAAGGTGATAGCACACATTTTACTGTAAAATAGAACTCTCAGGTAGATTCCAACTAAAGAGGAGATATTACTAAGCATTATTTCAGTTTTTGTCTTATTTTGAGTGTAAATTCATCCTCTGTGGTTTATTGTCATCTCTGAAGCAGAGAATGACACTAGAGAAAATATCAGAACAAATAATAGTGCCCCTTTTTTGGAGGAAGAACCAAAAGCAATGCTTATTTCACATATTGGAAACAAGTTAAATATGTAACACCTTGAGGAGTGTGTATGTTTTAACCATAACTACTTAGTGATACAAAAAAAAAATTGGAAATAAATAGAATGGTCAAAATTTTAAAACAACACAAACCAGTTAAAATTAAGGTGTTTCTGTAGATGATTTGTCCATAAAGTTGTTTTGAATTAGCATGCGGTCATGCCTTGGCATTTCCTTTGTTTTTAGCATTTGGGCATGCATATTCACATTTCTGCTGTTTGAATAAGACCTATTTAAACCTATCTGAATTGTTATATCATATGGATCATTTACTATTAATTTTAGCTTCATATTTTTATTTGTTAAGCTTTTTAGAACTTGAATCAAGTACAAAGAATATAACTTCAGTAATTGTTTCTCCAGATCCATAAGGTGGAATATCATACTCCTCACCCACAGGTAGCCATAGTTCCATGTGAGGACTTTCAGTTTTTAAAGTATCAATTTGAAATAAAAATAAAATGGTTCTGAGTGAGAACTTTTTAACTTTATTTTGAAGTAACTTCAGACTTACAGAAAAGTCTTTGAAGACTTTTATTGAACTTCCCTGTTGTAAGGTTTTGAGAGTAAATTTTGCCAATGTGGAAACAAATTAGAAATGTTAATAGAACACAGTGCTTTTTGAAACTCTTAGAGATGGTAATTTTGATCAGAGATAGGCAGCTGCACCACAGTGCCTACCTTGTGGTAAGCCTGCAGTTGAAATAGCTTCTGTTATTATTTCTCAAGATCATCATTACAGTATTTATCAAGAAAAAGGTCATTAAACAAAACTGTCTTCTCTTTTGCATATTTTGTTGTGAGAATTAGAGTTTGAATTTTATTAACTTAAAGGGTCTCATACTGTAAAGGGAAGTTCATTTCTAATTATCTGAAATATAGTTTTGAGATTCCCAAGCAGTAGTTTGGATGTGGAAAGATAATTTTCTTTGTAAATATTGCTTCCAACATTTTGCTTTTGTCTTACTTATTAAAAAGCAATCATTCTAAATGGTTGTATGTTTGAGTTGACTAAAGCTTCTTTTTTTAACCACAAATGAATTCAATTGCTATATTTGTTGTACTGCTATTAAGAGGCTCTATTATTTTACATTAGTGTTGTATCATATTATTAAGATAATTAGTTTTTAATTTTAACCTGCAGTCCCTCTTCTATCTTGAAGAACTTGAGGTGTTTTTCAAAGAAAACGTATACCCTTGTGAGATTAAGTACAAGATAAATTAGATCAAAACAACCATATAGAAAAGAGATAAATTTTCTGACAGCCTTGGCAACAAAGGAAATTGATGAATTATTTAGCTCTTATTATCATTTTTTAAAAATTAACTTATTTTTAATTGAAAAATTGTGTTCATTTTGTACAACATGTTGTTTTGAAATATATTAGATACAGATATAGATATATACATATTGTAAAATGGCTAACTCAAGCTAAGTAACCTGTATTACCTCACAAGCACTTAATTCAATTTTCTGATAAAGTATGCATGTCCTTTAGGAGAAAAAAATTCTGACTTCACATTCTAAGAGGGATGTGTCCATAAAGCTTTATGTAAGACATTGAATAATGTAGTGGATATATTTGAGGATCTGATTTTACTAACCCAATAACATTTTTTAAAACAAATTAAGATTATAGTCAATGAAAGCAAAGGCTATAAATCTTTGTTGTGTAAGAATCCCCTACTCCAAAGCAGTATATTTCGGAGTGTCTGAACTGATTTTAAATAGAAGGAGATACTAATTAAGGTCAGTTCTTCACTGAGTCACACTTACGCTGTTCTAAAGCCTCTGTTTTCTCAGCAGCTTTTAACGTGTTATTTTTCTGGGTTCCAAAAATACATCTTTAAAAAACTTTTTAATGTTAAATATTATAAAATAAAGCGGTTGGCATTCTTTGTTGCCTTATTCTCATTAATCTGTTGTCATCATGGACTCACGAATTTCAGTTTTTCTCAATGTTTATAATCCCTTATTGTCTGAACAAATGAATAAAAGTACTGATGCTGTTGGGAGAAGCAAATACAAAATACAAAATGAGAGAAGGACCATTTTAATTATTTTAGTGCCTAAATTGTCCCAGATTTGGCTAGTAGGAGCCCCTCTCAAGCTGGCCCCTGCATGCTTATGACATGACCTCAACTTTATTTTTGAGAACTTCATTACTTTCTGCTGTAACAAGCAGTTATATGTTTATCTTATCTTCCCTCTGCCATAATCCTAGTATCAACTATGTTTCCAAAGAACCTTAGTTTCTTTTAATAGAAATGGTGGTTATGGTATGGATATGAGATGTCCTCCAAAGCACCTATGTTAATGCAGCAATGTTCAGAGGTGAAATGATTGGATTGTGAAGGCTGCAACCTTCTCAGTCTATCTTAGTTTGAATAGACTAACTGGGTGGTAACTGTAGGCTTGTGGGGCATGGCTGGAGAAGATGGGTCTCTCAGGTGTGCCCTGGAAGCTGCATCTTCCCTGTGGCCCCTTCTCCCCTCTCTCCCTGCTTCATGACCTCTCCATGATCTGAGCAGCATTCCTTCACTGGGCCCTGTCCCCATATTATGGTGCCTCATCTTGGGCCTAGAGCACTGGAATGACCACTTTGGACTGAAACCTCTGAAACTATGAGCGTCTAATAATTTTTAAGTTGTTTTTGTCAGGTATATTGGTCACAGTGTCATGAAAGCTGACTAAAGCAAGTCTTCGAAACCAGGATCTGGGGGAGCTGGAGTGGTAGAGCGCTTGCCTAGCATAGGTGAGGCACTGGGTTCTATCCTCAGCACATAAAAATAAAGTAAAGGCATTG